CTGTCTCCCTCTCTCTCTCCCCCTCCCCTGCTCATACACACACTCTCAATCTCTCAGAAATAAACATTAAAAAATTAAAAAAAGAAAGTAAAGACACAGACATAATAAATGTGGCTTTATTTAAACAATGTTTAATCCACAAAGAAGGGAAAAAGTTAAAAAAAGAAAAAAAAAGAAGAAAGTTTTAATGAATAATGCTGATACCTGGTACTGGTTTAGAAATACACCAGGGGCACCTGGCTGGCTCAGTCCTTAGGGCATGTGACTCTTGATCTCAGGATTGTGAGTTTGGGCCCCATATCTGGTGTAGAGATTACTTAAAACTAAAATCTTAAAAAAAAAAAAAAAAAGTAGTGAATGCTGATATTGGGGCAAAGGTCAACCCAGGACAGCAGAGTAACATATAAGGTCATGTTGACACATATAAAGGAAAAGCTACTTTTAAAAGATCCAGGACCTTCTGATATCTTTTTCTCAGAGCCATTTTCAATTAGGTGCAATCACTGAGATGAAATGTTGGTAGAATCAAGTTTCCTATAAAATTCTATTTAATCATGGAATAGTATATTTGTGTAGAGCATTACATTACGGTTTTATTTTCAAATAAAGCATTGCCATAAATACTTTGATTGTTAAAACCAGCATATGAGAAAGGCAAGCAGTTGAGATCATTCCCATTTTTAAATTAATTATGGTTCCAGGACTTACCCAGAGTCACAGAACCAATAAGACATGGACATAGAATGCAGTACTCACTCTACTCCATTCACCAACTCATTCATGTATTCACCTGTTTATGCAACTAACTGCAATGACAGATTCAAAAATGGGCAAGGCATAACCTCTGGCCTCGTGGAGCCCACAGTTTATTAAGCTGGCAGAAAAACATCCCAATGCCATTTATAACACAAGAACAAAAAGTACAGTGGGAAAGATGCATGTGAGTCTTCCAGATGAGGTCAGTTCTTAAATCTATAGGTCTTAACAGACAAAGAAATAGCTAGGCCTGGAAGGCAGTGAGGGGCAGGGGGGAAAGACAAGCAGAGGTCATCTAATTCTGTTCAAATAGAAAACTGAGTGTGAGTCCTGGCAGAAACATAGTGTATGAAGTCAGCAGAGGCCAATCTTGGCCTTGAACGCCTTCCTCTGTGGGCCAAACTAAGGACAGCCAAGGTGTTCAGACTCAGATATATGCTAATCTTCAAAAAGCTTTCTGGCTGATCTCACCTCATATGTAATAGCCTACCGGTGGCAAATTTCATTTCTTTTAATACTGTGATGTCTTGAAGGGAGAATGACTCAAGCCATGAGTTTGAATGAGTAGATTGTTTTCTGTAGCCTATGTATGTATACACATATTGCATACACCCACATGGATAGTTTATAACCATAACACTATATATGAGTATCCACATAGATTATGCAAAACATACATAAAATTCTACAAACCTCACATGGAGAGACATCTGAATAATGTGTGTATCTAGACTGACCCCATGGGAGATACTCAGATGGAGACGGGTTACAGAGAGAGGGTACTATGCAGGACAACCATCTGTCCTAGATGATTCAGTCATTTGCCAGCAGAGGAAGAATGGAAGGGGGGGGGGGGGTTACAAAATGAAATCTAAAGGTATCTTAATGCTCCACGGTTTTATGTATTATGACTTTACCTGCATGAAGCAGTTTCTTTATTCTCGATAAATAAAATTCCATGACTCCGGTGAAATAATTCCTCTCTGCCATTTTTTTGTGCTCAGGCAGAAAATGTATTATTGATTTCTGATTCAGCCACAGACAATGTGACTTAGAGAAAGGAGCACTGAATGAGAAGTCAGGAAACCTAGATTCTCTCCCCAAACCACCGTTTTCCCCTTCCTCACCCCCACCCCAGCAGAGAGGGGGCTGTGTGACCTTGGGCAATGACTACAGTCTCTGGGCTTCAGCTTGGTATTAAATGAAAGGAATGGGTAGGTGTTCTCTAATTCTCTTCCAGCTCTTAATCTATGAAACCATCCCCCTCCCCAAACACTTAGTTTATCTCCAGAGCTCTAAAAATCAAGACTAATAAAAGTGGATTCAGATCATCTCTTTTTTAGCCAAAGAAGATCCTGTTTTATCTTATTTTTTAAAACCATCCAAATCTTGCATAATTCAAATGATCAGTGCTGTCACTGGTTGCTCTGGTTTAAATTATGCATTGTTGCTATTTGGGGAGAATGTAGACTAGGTCCAGTCTGGGATCACTGGCTGAGAACAATAAGCCCCCAAAGTGAGAAGGATAAAGGCCTCTCCAGACAGGATCTGCTTTTAATGCACGGAGCTCAGGGTTTACAAAAAGAGCATTGATTGTGTACATTAAAGAGCCACCGAAACAGCAAGGGATTGGTAAGGCTGCAGCAAATTCTCCTAGATGTCACTGACCTTGGCTGCATTTCAGGGGTCAGGCATTCCCCATAAGGTTCTCAGCAGGCTGGCTTTCCTGAGGGGTTAGGAACAAATGAGACCTCTCATCCAGATAAACCCACCTCTCCTAATTTGAGAAGACAGAAATTATCTGCCCTCTGATTTGTGGAGATCACCTGTGTAGCCTTTGGACTCAACAGCCAGCCTACACACCTCACCCCCTACAAGGCGGGTCCTACACCCCAGCCCTCCCGGGTGCAATTGTCTCCACATCAGCATGTAAGTCCTCTAGCCAGCAGTTCCCATCTCTAGAGCTGGCCTTAGCCCTCCCTCATTCCACACCTCCTACAGGCAGAAATACAGGGGCAAAGCACTAAGCCCAGGCCACAAAGAGCAATTTCAGGGAATCCTGCAAAGATATCTTTTCAAAATACAGATCTCTGGAGCACAGGCCTCCCATGTGTGAATCACACTCCAGGCAGGCCGGTGAGCCCTCGTGGTTCCTTACAAGCCTGCAGGCTCTGTGTGCTCATATCTCAGAAAAGCTTCCCCAGAAAAAGCCCACAAGGGACACCTCTGACCAAGCCCAACTTAAAAATCGCAACAGAGCCCTTTCCATTAGAGGAGCAGTGTTGAGATTCTAGCTCAGGAAAACCACAAGCCTTGCCCATTGTTCAGATTCCTTCCCCATACCCCCCACCCCACCCCCTACTGGGCTTTTGCCACTTTCCCCTACCCGGTAGTCTGGGCCATCCATCCACCTGATTAACCCGCTGGCAGTAACTCCCAGTGCAGAAAGTAGGGCAAATGAACATGCACAGTCTGTAAAGCAGGAAATCACAGACTTAGCCAAAGCACCCACCCGGTTACCAACCCCCACCCCCAGCTGCCCAGGGGGCAGCGGTTTCTGAATGTGGCATTTCTGTGCCAGGAAATAGACAGCTTACTGTAATATCACATGAATGAGCTTTTGCTGCCCAACTATCAAAAAAGCTATTTGAAATGGCATCTCTGTTCCTTCTCAACCCCTGGACGGCCTTGCAGAAACCCTCACCTCTTGGAAGAATTAAGAAGGGGAAGGGAAGTTAAAAAGAGGAGGATTCATGAGACTAAATAAAAAGTACCACTTTGACAGTAAAGGTAGCTCTTTAAAATAACTGTAGAGAAGGAGGTACTGTCAGGAGAAGTAATGAAGATTCAGGTCTGTAATCCCAAGATTTAGCATCAGTCTAACAATGTATGCCTCAGGAGGGCGTGTGAACTTCCAAGCTTCACCCATCCTGTGTGTCTGTGTTGAGACCCACCATCAATTCTATCTCACCATCCTCCATGCTTCAAGTATACATGCTGTGGCTTTTTTTTTTTTTTTTATTCTTGGTTCAGGAGAGGAAGAAGCCATCCTTAATTGGTGTCCAATCTTCATCCCCCTCTGCTGCCGCCACCCACACCCCTCACCTCCTTTTCCGCAGGCAGCATCTAATTAAAATGGCAAGAAAGCTCTGCCCCCTTCCCCGATAGAGTGTGTTGGGATTCAGAGGTGGGGGTGGGGAGGCGTCGAGGCTACCCTGGGATTCCTGGTATCCTGATCTCAAAACAACAGCAAAATGGATTCTATAGCAGTGATGTCTTAGTCAATACAATGAAAAGGCGTCTGAGGCGATTCACGCGAAGGTAAACGCAAACCAGTGGGCCTAGAGGGACGTAGATGCTCTCTACAAAGGACTGGCCGCGCGCGCGCGCGAACACACACACACACATCCACACACACACACATCCACACACACACATCCACACACACACGCACACACACTCACTGGAGTTCCGGTCTGACTGGGGGAAAGCAGAGAACACATCCTTCCACCTGCTTAAGTTCAACCATAAAACTGAAATGTCAGAGCCACAAAGTCAGAAAGCACAGGCAGGTCTAAGTTAAACCATAAATAAAGGTGACTGGCAGACTGGCATTGAAGAGAGCGCGGAGAGGCAGTCGGGGCTCAGAAGGCGGAAAGGGGCTAGAGGAGGCAGTTGCCATCTACAAGACCAGCACAGCAATAGCTGCCCCCGTGGAGCGGCAGGTTCGGCTTCGTAGGGAGTCAGGCTTACAATGTCATCTTGCAGGTAGCTGGGAAAAGTGAGTGGCCAGTGCTTCTATTCACGCTGCTGTTACTCTCTTTGCAGAAAGGGGCAGTGGGGTCTCGCGCCTTGGCACCAGACGACCGTCTGGGGCTTGTGTGCACACACCACGCGCGCGCATGCACACACACATACACACACACACACACACACACACACACACACACACACACGAGCCTTTCATTTTAAGGCTCTTACGCTGGTCTAAGATGAAACTGGCATTAGCTCCACTGGTTCTCTGGGGAGCTTCGGCCACAACCAAAGGAGGACACGTAGTGCACAGCTTTGAGAGGAGTCTTAGCCAAGAGCACCTCGGCGGACCCCGAATCAAAACTAGAAGCCAGGTTATCTCCGCGTCGCATTCTCCCTCTGCCCAGTAGCCCCCGCCCGGGTTCACGCACCGAGCCCGTTCACCCCGAAACAAACCGCTGGGAAGAAATCAGAAAACATGTTCTACTCACCCTCAGAGCCGAGAGATCGATTTCATCCAGGCTACGAGCCGGGGAGTCGCTCGCCATGTCTACTTCTTCGAGGGAGAAATGGTCCAAAACCACCCTGAAGCTTCTCCCTTGGAAATTCCACCTTGGTCTATTTTACTCGCGTCCTCATGCGGGTGTAGCGCCAGAGGCCCCGGGCCCAGCCTCCCCAGCCCACCCCGGCCCCACAGCACCCGATCCCGATCCCCCGCGCGTCGGTCCTCCGGGTCAGGGAGCCCAACCTGCGCTGATCTCCAAGCCCGGAGCCGCGGTGCGTGTGGGCTGCGCGCCCTGCTCAGCTAAGGGCGCTGGGGCTGCGTGGGTGTATTTAAATGGGACATGCTTCTTTGCTTGTGCGTGGATGGCGGCTGCATTGGCTGTTATAATGAGACACATCAACTCCTCCACTCTGCTGGGGGGTGGGGGTGGAGAACCACACAGAACTGTCTATCACCGCTTCCTGGGAGGAGTAAAGGGGGGGGGGGGGAAGGCGGAGGAGGCGTGGTCTCCGACTGGGGAGAGGCCGCGCTTCCTGACCCGGTCCCTCTGCACCAGCGTGGTTGGGGGAAGGGCGCGCACCCTTTCCGCCCAAGCTTTTGCAGGCTAATCTGGATGGATCTGAAAAGCTGTTCCTGGACCCTGCCGTGCTTATCGTAGGGGCAAAGGGGCTTTATTTTGTGTGTCCAATTCGTGCACTGCAGCACAATGGCCCTCAATCGCATTGGGGGGGGGGGGAGGGGGGTTTCGGTTCGGTTCAAATGCTCTAGCGCTGAAAAAATCCAGAAGGAAAAAAAAAAAAAAAAGAGTGACGGCCTCCCTCCTCCATTAATTATTTGTGGGGCTGGAGTAACGCGGGCTGGTGCAACCGGTGCATATAAGGACTTGTGTGCAGGGAAGGGGATCCGCCTCCAGGCGCGGAACGAATGGGGGAGAAGCGCACTCGTACCCTGCTCTCCAGCGATTTGCAATGGGGGCGGGTGGGTCAGCCAGCGACCCCCGGGATCCCGGAAGGCGGGTCTCGAGGGCCGGTCACTCGCGGGTCAAGGGCTAGGAAGGTTTACCAGAAGCGGGAAAACGGACATCTGAGTTCCTTGTTGGCATCGCCACACCCAGGACTTGCCCGTACCGCAATTCCCCACGGAAACGACCGAATTGAAACGAGAAGCTTTTTCTCTGGGTGCAAGAGCTGAATGCTTCAGGTAACTCCAAAGGCAACACGGGGTAAGGCAGCACTCGCCGCCTCAGGACGCTGCATTTCCCTTTCAGGCAGCGTTTTCGTGGCTGACCTACTCAGACTGATGGAGAAAGTTTAGCTGGTGGGTGAGATGTAACATACAAAATGCACCGGGTGAGAGCGATTTCGCTCCACCCGCTTTCTCATTTCAAGGCTGAACGTTTACAGTGGTAAACATGATATTCCGTAATCAAAAGTATGAAGTCACTTCCCCCAGCCCCCCTACCCGCCCCCCCTTCCCCTCCAGCTTTGGCCACGCGAAATACATGGGAAGAAAAGCTAAATTTGAACTTTCCCCCCAAATACAGCAGTATCTGCACGTCAGTTAAAATGGGAGTTTACATCTAGCCAAGTGCACTGAGGGCTTCTTAATCCTGTGGTGTGAATGTCAGTTTCAGAAAAGGACTTTTGAATGAATGAACGGAAGCCAATGCAGTTAGTTCATCAGGACTGCAGACACTGGAAGACTTAGAAACAGCATTCGGTTTGCGCCCTGCTTTTTGTTGTTGTTAACATTATTGTACTTATCTGTATGCACTGGGGATCATGAAACTGAAGAATTGTTCTAACATCTCAATGGCCACACAGTTACTTAGGAGATTTGCCCTTAAAATGTCAAACGTTTAATCATGTTATATTCAGAACGCTCGATTTGACCTATCATTTTCTAATAAGATCGTCCAGCTTAAGACAGTAAATAAGGTGCAGCAGGCCACCAAGGCATGTAGAAATGACGTAAAAAACCTACCATTTCCCATCATGGTCCTTATTTTTCCCTTCTCTGTCCCTTTTTTACCCTTAATCTAGATGACAAAGTAATGTATTTCTTTCTCATGTTGAAAGAAATCATTAATTTAAGATCAGGTATTTAGATCTGTGAACGTAACTATTTTTAAAATTCCAGACATAGGAAAAATGAGATAAACATTTTTTTTTCATGGACAACCTTCATTTTATACCCCAGATTTTTATCTGAAACATCACAGATAGATGAATGGTCTCTTCCACCTTAGTAAACTGCTCAGGCCATGAGGATGCCGTGAAACGCACTAAATTCCACCCTTGGATTTAGAATTGGAAGACTATATGTTCAATCCAGTGATGGGGGAGGGCTTCCTGGATGCTGACTGGTTGAGCTGAGAGTCAGGTGGAGGTGTGGGGGGGGGGGGGAATGGGGGGGGGGTGAGGGATGCAGGAAATACCATAAAAGCAAAGGTTGCAATAGCCAGGCCACCTTCAGCTAGTAAGGGAAGGAGCAAACTCCAGGCTGTTTGTGCTCGAGGCTAGGTAGTAGTGGTGACTGGACTGAGAAGGGAAGCAAAGGTCAGATCAGGTAGCGCTCTGCATGTCCCGTTAAGGAACTTGGACTTTATCCTTTAGGTCAAGTGTGTATCAAATTTCAGCCATTCCAATACAAATCCCTATTTTTTTGCCATGTCTGTGAACCCCCCATACTATTTATTATCTGCTTAATATTTTTCTCTAAATCCATACTTTTCTTTTTTTCTTATTTAATTTAAAAGGAAACATAAATGACTACTATAAATGGAAAGCTAGCAATACTTGCTAAAAAATAAAAGAAAACCATCAAATAAATACAATGGAAAATAAATATTACTTAATTCTAGCTATCATTGCCTGCTCCAGGTTTCTAGCCTAGGGCTTGCTCTTCCTTTGTTAAAAAGAGGAGTTAATAAATGCCAGAAAAGGCATTCAAAATTTGACCGAAGTGAGATTTTTCCTCTTTATGTAATCTGAAGGATTGAAAGAACTGATATCATTTATGTTCAATTTGAAAGCCTGTAAAACAATACAATATGCTGTTTATGTCTGTAAATGTATAGCCAACTATAAAAAGCATGGGCATAGGCTGGAAGGACACAGATCAACTTCAGGACAGTGACAAGGGAGAAGTGGAATGGGAAGGTACAAAGGAGGATCCAACAATAAGACCTAATTTATTAAAAAGAAAAAAAGATCTCTAGCAAATATTGCTAAATGTTTGGAATTGTTAGATCTGAATAGTTACTAATTCATATTTATTATATTGTTCTCTGGATCTTTTTGTATATTTGAAATATTTTTATATTTTAAAAATATTTATAAAAAAAGAGAGAATCCCAAAGAGGGTTGTGTTCCCTCTATTAGATTCAATGTTATTTAATGCCATATCCATGCTCCAACTAAAATCAACACTGGAAATCAGTAACACAGCTTGTGGAACTTTTAAAAGCACACTCTGTAGATCTTCTGTCACCACAAATCCCTAGATATAACAGAAAATATATTTTAAAAAATGCATTAGAGTTCTAGAAGACAATAAAGACAGTATCAGTGGTCTAGCAATTCAGAGGACTTCCTAGATTATATAAAGCAAGTAGGATTTGATTGCCAGTAGATCTGTAAACCAAAACGGTACAGGGTAGGACCAGGGTGAGAGCTGGGAAGGCTTCAAGCTCAGAGGCAATGGCTACAAGGAACTGGGACTTTCATCACGGTAACTAAACCCATTAATCCACTCTTTCATTCATTCCATAAATATACAAATCATTTACTCTGTGCCAGTCACAATACCAAGTCCTGAAGATTTGCTTTCACAGAGGCAAATAATAAAATTGTAAATAATCCATTACTAACATTATTTTAGATGATGATAAGTGATATGAAGAAAATCAAGCAAGATCATGAGAATCAGCAGGTACACATGTCCACCCCCAGCCCTGACACATGCTCTCCGTAAGTATAGGTGCTTGGGCCAAGGAGACCGGGTATCACCCCAAGGAACTGCTCACCGATTGCCAGGAGAAAGGAGACCACACACACGCACACGCACAGAAGGTGAAGTACCTGCATCCCCCGCGCTGCAAGACATTTGCTGCCCCACTTTCCACCCCAGTCAGCAAAGCAAGCACTCAGAATATAGAACTGGCACCACAGATAGGCAAATGAGATTTTCAAACACTAAGATGAGCAGACAACCCTGAATCACCAATCATTTCTAAAAATCTATTACTTTGAAAGAGAAGAACCAACTCCAATCAACAAACAGATTGAAAACCCAAAGTTACTGTTAAAAATGAGTTTTATAACATATATGTTTTATCCTCAAAAAATAATACAGGATCTTACAGTCATAAAACAACCAAGTTATTATGCAAACAAACCAGTTAGATGAATAATTAGTATATTAATTGAAATTTTTAAAATGAATCTATAGATTGAACAATAGAAAGTAATACTATGCTGCAGATACTCCTTTAAGCATTCATGCATTAACATATTTAATCTTTATAATCTTCCAAAGTAGGCAATAATATTAGCATATTCACTTTACATATGAGTAAACTGAAGACTTAAAAGTTTAATTAACTTACTCAAGGCAACACAGTAATAAATGACTGAACCAGGATTTGAACTCAAGCTCTTAATCATCATGCTATACTGACTCAAGCTGAACTGAAGAGTGAATTTGTTATCTAGAAGATTGGGCGCAGTTTGATCCCAAATTGCAGAAGAAAGTATGTAGCAACAGAGTAAGAATTTAAGTAATATGGAGCATAAATCCAGAAGTTCCAACCTTCATCTGATAGGAGATCTAGAGAATAGATAGGAGGGAATACTCAGAGAAATAATAGAAAATGGTCCCGTATCTTCAGGCTAAAATCTCCTATAGAGTGCATAAGTTAAAAAATACCACACTTGAACATATCATGATGGAATTTCAGAGCATCAGGGATAGAAAGAAAATTCTAACCAGATCACCTATTTCTCATCAGCAGCAATGGATGCTAGGACAAAGCATTCTAACGTATGGGATAACGGGACAAACATATCTTGCAACACTGACTAAAGGGGAGTGAAGAAAAGTCTGGTGTGTCTTATAAAAATGGTTTTCCTGTCTGAAAACTGAAAAAAGAAAAGAAGGGACCAAAGGGAAGAGAAGAGGG